AATCGACTAAGCACCAGCCCAGACCCAGACCCCCCCCTCCCCCACCCTTCGGCCAAATGTCGAAACCTAGAAACGCCAACCTGTTTTCGACCATCCTCGAAGATCAGCCACGATCAGAGGGGGGTAGGGGGAGGGGGGAAGGCTTCTTAGAAGCAGCGTCCTGTTGAGCAGCCTTCCCCCCCTCCCCCTGCCCTCCTCCTGCGCGCCGCCAAGCTTCTGAGGCGCCCCGCCGCCTTCTGAGAGGGCCTGCCCACTGCCACTCCCACTTCCCCCCCCTTCGGCGCGCCACCGGCCGCCGCCGCGCCCGTGACCAGCAGCAGGTTGCCTGCCTCAGCAGCGAGGGCCCCCTCCCGCGCTCGGAGGCAGCAGTGGGATGCACTGGGCCGAATTGGGCACGGGGCTCACCGAGGAATCCTCGACGAGCCCCGTGCCCAATTCCTCGTCGAGGATTCTTCTATCCTCGTCGAGGATTCTTCTATCCTTGACGAGCCCCGAACCCTAAGCACACAGTGCAGACGCGGCCTCGCTTAGGTCCACGTCTGATTGCGCTGGGGACGATCGTCTGGGCGGTCTGGCTCCACACATCTGCAGATAGGGCCCCCCTATCCCTACTGCCTTGGCCCCTCCTAACTCGGGTCCCCTCCCAGAGGGTGGGGAGAGTCCTCTCGATGCTGCTCCGGGGGTGGCGGGAGGAGGAGCTGCGCGCGGAAGGAGGAGGGGGGGGCGCACGCTCTCGGCACGTGACGTCGTCGTCTGCGTGCGCGCCGGAGCGCGCGCACAGCGCGGAGGATGCGGAAGCCCGCCGTGCCCCGAGGCTCGGGCGCTAGCAATTTTTAAGAAGGCCTCCTCCTCCTCCTCCTCCTCCTCCTCCTCCTGCTGCTCCTCCTCCTCGAGCCCTGGGGCCCTGGGGCCCTCACAACTCGATCCGGCTAGGAAAAAAAGGGCGCAGGAAGACCAGGTCTGGGGCTCTGGTCGTTTTTTTTTTGCGGGGAAGGGGTCCAGGCCTCTGGGGGGTCGATGTTGCGGCCAAAGTTCACGACCTCAGGGGGCGGGTCGCGTCGCGATGCGCGCCGGCGCCGTCTGGGGATGCCCAAGACTGTCTGCGATTCCCAGGCGGCGCCGGCGCTCCTCGTGACGACGCGATGTGGCCAGGGGGGAGGAGTTGTCGAGTAGGGGATCGGGACAGCAGAATGGATTTACCCCCCACACTTGGCCTGTTCGTCGAACCCACGAGACATGAGTAGACTTGTCGTAGATCTACGAACATGTACCCAGACATGCGACGTCCTGATTTTTTCAATGCGGGGTCCCTGGAAGTCCTGACCCTTTCCCCGGGACCGGTTTTTCATCCTGAGTCGTTGTTTTGACGGTCCCGAGGCCCAGCGAGGGCCACACGAGGCCGAAAACGGCTGAAAGCCCGCCGTCCTGATCCTTGTACTTACGACGCGATCCTGTCCGCGCATGGCTCGACGAGGAGGTCAATCTTGGGGTAAATCAACACTGCAGTCGACCCCCTCCTCGAAGGGGGGCCGGGCCGGCCACGGGCGTGTCCCCGCGAGCGCTAAATACACAGCGCGTGCTCGCTCCCCGAGGACGCGCAGGCCGAGGTGGACGACAAGGTGCGGGAGGGGGAAGACACACGGCACAGACGAAAGTCATCGTCGATGCCCAGGAGGGGATGCTAGGGGGAAGTCAATGGGAAGTGCAAGGGGGGGAAGGAGACGAGGCTCGAGAAAAGATAAGGGGCAACATTGATGGGGATACTGGAGCATTTGTGTGCACGTATGTGTATGTATCTACGTGTGTATGTATGTCTGCCTGTCTGCCTGTCTGTCTGTCTGTCTGTCTGTCTGTCTGTCTGTCTGTCTGTCTGTCTGTCTGTCTGAATGTGTCTGTATGTATGTATGTTTGTATGCATGTATGTGTGCGGTATGCATGTATTGTCGGATGCATGTCTACATGTGTATGTATGTATGTATGTATGTATGTATGTATGTATGTATGTATGTGTGTATGTATGGATGGATGTATGTTTGTATGTATGTGTGTAGGTAGGTAGGTAGGTAGGTAGGTAGGTAGGTAGGTAGGTAGGTAGGTAGGTAGGTAGGTAGGTAGGTAGGTATGTATGCATGCATGTATGTATGTTTGTATGTATGTATGTATGTATGTGTGTATAAGTCTATATGTATGTACGTGTATGTATGTATGCATGCATGCATGTATGTATGGATGTATGCATGAATGAATGAATGCATGAATGTAAGTATGTATATGCGTACGTATGTGTGCATGTACGTATGCGTGCATGCATGTATGTATGTAGGTGTGGAGGTGTGTAACTCTGTATGTGTGTATGTGTGTATGCATGTGTGTGTGAGTGTGTGTGTGTGGGCCCACGGGGGCCCATGCAGAGGTGCAGGACCTGCAGGCGCAGCTGGAGGCGGAGGAGCAGAGGCGCGACGAGGGAGCAACGGCAAAGCCCACGCATCCTCCCCTCCTCCCTCCCTCCCTCCCTCTCTTCCTCCTCCTCCTCCTCCTCCTCCTCCTCCTCCTCCTCCCTTCCTCTTTCCTCCTCCTCCCTCCCTTCCGCCTCCTCCTTCTCCTCCTCCTTCTTTTCTCCTCCTTCCCTCCTCCCTCCTCTTCCTCCTCCTCCTCCTCCTCCTCCTCCTCCACCTCCTCCCTCCTCCCTCCCTCCCTCCCTCCCTCCCTCCCCTCCCTCCCTCCCTCCTCCTCCGCCTCCACCGCCTCCTCCTCCTCCCTGCTCCTCCCTTCGACTGGCGTCGCCTTCGTCTTTTCGGGCCCCTCGTTCGGCCCCCGCACGTTGCAACGTGTGTATTCGAAGCTAGCGCTTGACTCCAGCCTGCGGCCACATGAAGGGCGGCGACCCCGCTGCTTGCGGTCAACGTTGAACTCAGAGGAGAACCACTCGGGCGAAGAGAACTATACACATGCACCGATCCTGGCAAGGCCCGTCCTTGACCCAGGATCGGTGCATATACCTTCCTGGCCCAGGCAGCGGGCGTATGCACCGATCCTGGGCTCAGGATGGGCCTGGAGTTCTCTTTCCTCTAAACGCTCAGACAGGATTGCGTCGTGACGAGCAAAAATCAGGACGGGAGGCTGTTCTGCCGTTTTCGGCCCCTGGGAGCCGTCGTTCGGCCTCGGGGCTGTCGAAAAGCGCCTCGGGATGAAAGGCTGGTCGCGGGGAAAGGGTCAGGACTTCCAGGGGGGCCCCGTATTGAACAACATCAGGACGTCGCATGTCTGGGCATGAACCACCGCCACCGATCGGCCACGCGCAGAGGGGGATCGGTGGAGGGGGGAAGGCTGCTTCGAAGCACCCCTGCTTCTAAGAAGCCTTCCCCCCTCCCCCTACCCCCTTGTGCGCGCCGCCAGACCGAGAACCCATCGGGTGGAGAACGACCCCATGGGCGGTGGCACGTCTGAGCGCCTTCCTGTGCTGGGTGACGCTCGGGCGTGCCACTGCCCAGGGGTCGACCCCCTACCGATGGGCTCGAGTCAAGTTTGACTCCCCCCCTCGCTCCTCCTTCTCCTCCTCCTCCTCCTCCTCTTCCTCCTCCTCCTCCATGAGTCCCTTGCCTCGACAAGATGTGCTTTGAACAAGATTGCGAAGTGACCCGCATCCGCGTTGCGACGGTGGCTGTTGAAAGCACGGTGTCCGCTCCTCCCTCGGAAGACAAGCGTGCGGCAGGTTCGCGCCGCGTTGGCTGGCGGCGGCCCCGCTGCGGGCGTTCCACGTTGAGAACGCCACCGGCGACTCAGAATCGGTCCACCCGGACACCCTGGCGCATGGCGTTTTCAATTGTTTCAAAACCAGCGCTTTGGCTCAATTTCGGGCCCCGGGACCCTCACAGATCGATCCGGCTCGAAGAATGAGGCAGAAAGATGGGGTCTAGTGCGCCGTGCATGTTTTTTTGTTGACGATTTTGCAATTTTTGGGGCAACGTCGGATCTCAGGGCATGTGGACCGACCGGGCGTTGCGGAAGCGGCTGATCGTTCAAGGCGGAACGGTCCCCGCGGTGTCAGGAGCCGACGCCGAAGTCGGCACGACACGAGCTTGCTGTACATCATCACATCTGTTTGGCGGCGCGCACAGGGGGGTAGAGGGGGAGGGGGGAAGGCTTCGCGCAGAAGGAGGCTGCTCTTATAGATGTGGGGCCGGCGCCTTCTACGAAGCAGCCTGCTTCTGAGTTAGCCTTCCCCCGCCCCCCCCCCCCCCCCAGTGCGCGCCGCCAACATACGTAGATCTGTTGGAGTTTCGCGCGGATTTCTGGGATCGGCGCTGGGCTTCGTCGTGCGGCGCCTCCGGCGCCGCCTCTCGGGCGGGCCCCGCGCGCCGGCGCTGATCCAGAAAGTCCGCGCGCGGATGTTTCGTTGAAATCTCTGCTTGTGCAGTTTGTGTTCTCGAGGGCCACGACCAGCAGATGTTCAGCCCCAGGCCCCCCTCGGGCCGTGACAAAAATCACGACGCAGGGTGTTTTTACAAGTTCTCTGCTTCTCTGGGGGTCCTCGCCGGGCCCCAGGACCGTGGAAGGACGGCTCGGGATGAAGATCTGGCCCCAGGGAATGGGGATCGAGACTTCTGAGGCCCTGGGGGTGGACGCTGTGGAAGAATCCTGGCGTCGTCGGGGTCTGGGGCTGCCGCGGAGTCGTGCCCCGCATCCCTCCCCGCCACGACGTGGCGACGCCCTCGGACCTCCGATCTCAACGTTGACGCCGACACTGGCGAGTGCAGCTTTTTCGTTGACCCCGCGGGCCGCGCTGCGCGCGCCCATCCACGCTGAGATTCGGGGGCGGGGGGGTCGGACGACAGCTTGCGTTTGCTTTCGAGGAGGGCTGTGGGATCTCGGGGAGCGGTGGCTGTGGATAGTCTGCCCGCCCGCATGGGCGAACAGAGTTGTGCCCCTCTCCGCCGCTCCCCGAGCCCCGGGGGGCGCCTTCTGAGAAGCAGCCTCCTTCTAAGAAGCCCTCCCCCCTCCCCCTATACCCCCCTTGTGCGCGCCGCCAAGACAAAGATTCCGGACGGGAGGTGTGGCCGTGTTCGGCTTCGGGGGTCCATCGCCGGGCCTCGGGACCGTCAAAACCGACTCAGGATGAGAGACCAGTCCCGGGGAACGGGTCGGGATTTCCAGGGGCCCCGTTATGAACAAATCAGGGCGTCGCATGTCTGGGCTCGATTTCGAGATTCTGGCGATCCGATGCGGCCCGATGCTTGCGTGGCGCTTGTTCGCATGCTGCCGCGGCCGATCCGATCTGACTTCGATTCCGTGCCGATGCAGCCCGATTCGGTGCACATTCCGCTCCGATCAGATTGGCCGATTCGGTGATGGCTGATCCTGAAGTGGGTCTGGCCACACTCCGGCGGCGCTAGATCAAGGGAGGCAAAACCACCCGGAGCCGACTGGCGTTTGCTAAACGGCCGTGGGCGTTCGCTGAACAGCCCTGCCCTGACTGTTCGATTCCTCCTTTTGGGATGCGTTGACTGACCGGCTTCGCGTGTCGGGGTGATCATTATGAGGGTGGATTTCCTGCTCTCTACTGGAGGCTCCGATCCCCATCCCATCCCCATCCCCTTCGAGACCCCCACCAAATTACCACACCAGTTGGGGATACACCCCTCGAAACCCGAAGGGAACGGCCTCTGTCCCCATCTAGGGGGGTAAATCGGCCGGTGGGGCCCAGGCCATGCCGCTGGGTGTGGGGATCGGTCAAACGATACTCATAGAGGCTCAAGTTCCAGCAGAGGCAGCGCAAGATCGAGGCCGAGCTCTTCGCCAAGCAGCGCGAGCTCGCGGAGGCCACCGAGGCCCAGCGGGCCAGGGCGCAGGCCGCCGCGGAGGCGGTCCGCGCCGCGGAGGCGGGCGGCGTCACCGAAGCAGACTGCCACGCAGAGTCGGCCCGCAAAGTAAGGATGAATGACTTTCCAAGGCTGCCCTCCCAGACATGATCGCGTCGTGGAAGAATCAGGACGGGAGGTTTTTGGCCGTTTTCGGCCTCGGGGGGCCCTCGCTGGGCCTCGGGACCGTCAAAAAACGGCTCCGGACGAAAATTCAAAGGGTCGGGACTTCCCGGGACCCCGTATTGAGAAAATCCGGACTCTGCATGTCTGGGCTTGCATCCTTGCGCCTGCGGCCCATCCATAGCGACTTTCGCTGGCTGGCCTGGTTCGAGAAGCGTTGACATAGCCCTCCAAGGCCCTTGCATCCCCACCGCGCATGCTGATTATACGGATTGACTGTGCTGTGTTCGCAGGTCGACGTTCGATCCGTCATCCTGATGCAGCCCCCGACTGTGGCCGCACGGGGTGCAGGGCACGGATCACAAAAACTTGGCCACCAGAGGCCGGATGTTTCTCCCTGCCCCCATTCCGCCACCTTGTGGAGTTCTGGCGTGAGCAGGGGTATGGATAGAGCGTCGATCGCCTACATGTGCGGCCCGGACCCCACAGGGGGCGATGCGCGCGCTCAGAAGTCTTGTAGCCTCTGCTTGGCTGTGGGTGCCTTCTGGCCATACCGCCTAGGTAGCGCAACGCCTTCAGACGTTTGTTCTATGCCCAGAGACCCGACGTCTTGTCTTCTCCGGTGCGGGGTGCCCGGAGTCGTTGTTTGACGGCCCCAGGGCCCGGCGAGGGCCCCCACAGGCAGAAACCTGATGCAACAAGAACCTCCGGCTCGATTTTGTCAGTGCGTGGGCGGTCTGGGTCTGTTCGGTTCGGACGTGCGTGCCCAAGGTCGGGCGGGCCCGCCCGACCTTGGGCACGCACGGGCTAGGACGGGCTAGGACGAGGATAAATCCGTTCTAGAGCGTTCTGGAACGCTGCGAGAAGGCCGCGGCGCCCGAGACATCCTCTATAGCCGCCGGATCTCAGAAATTCTCGACTTATCCTCACCAGATTTTATCCCCATCCTGGCTTCAGGGTGCGCAGCGGGCTGGCGTGGCCTTCTGCTTCATCTTTCTGGGCCCTGGACACTGGACCCCATAAGTCTGCATCATCTTTCGAGCCGGATCGATCTGTGAGAGTCCCGGGGCCCGAGAAAAGGCGACAGCGCCTGCCTCGAAGAAAGATTGAGGCGCCAGGATTTCAGGGACGTCGGTCCCCAAGGGGGGCGCAGCGTGCTGGCGTGGCCTCCTGTTCGGTCAGGCATGTCCTCCGACAGTGCGGGTTTTGGAAGAAGAATGTCACACCTTCCAAAACTAGTCAGAACGAGTCGAGAAATCGCCCCCAGACTATTTTTTGACTGTTCCTGGATCGACCTCCTGCAGAGGGACCTGCCCGACTCCAAAAGCCTCCCCTGCGCCCCAGGAGATGGCGCGGGCCGAGCTGGAGCAGGCCCGGGCCGCGGAGGCCGCGGCGGCCGCGCAGGAGCGGGCGCGGCAGCTGCAGGCTCAGGCCTCGGGTCAGGGGCAGCGACAGGGGGCGCCCGAAGTCAAGGAGTGTCAAACCATGTCCAAGAGCAAAGTAGGAGGAGGAGGAGGAGGAGGAGGAGGAGGAGGAGGAGGAGGAAGCTCTGCTGCTGTGCAGGTGCCCGTTGCCAGGCTTCTCCGCCGCCGATCGGCACTGTGGCATGGGCCGAGTTGCCGCGGCAGGCCGTGGCGTCATCCTCCGCCCGGGACCCTGGGGTTCTTCTGGCCCTCTAGAGAACCCTGCTGGAGGAAAACATAAACCCATACAAACGCACCTCATTCTCATATATAAGACGTGGTGGAGCACAAGACGCTAGCACAGTTTTTACATTAGATACTGGTTGGGGCATTGTGAAATGCAGCAAGTCCAGGGGAGCGCACATCGATGATATATTCGCAGGAGGAGGAGCAGGAGGAGGAGGAGGAGGAGGAGGAGGAGGAGGAGGAGGAGGAGGAGGAGGAGGAGGAAGAGGAGGAGGAGGAGGAGGAGGAGGAGGAGGAGGAGGAGGAGGAGGAGGAGGGAGGAGGAGAGGAGAGGGGGTGGAGGGGGGGAGGAGGAGGAGGAGGAGGAGGAGGAGGAGGAGGAGGTCTGTCTTGCAGGGCAGGTTCGCGCCGCGTTGGCGCAGCGGCGACCCCGCCGCGGGCGTCCAAAGAGTTGAGCGCCGCCCGTGCGTGGCCCAGGGTCGGCCGGCATCGAGCTGGCGATCGGAACGCCGCCGAGCAGGCAAGTTGCAAGGTGGAACAATCCACGCGGTGTCAGACATGATCGCGTCGTTAAAAAATTCGGGCGGGAGGTTTTTGGCCGTTTTCGGCCTCGGGGGGCCCTCGCTCGGCCTCGGGGCCGTCAAAAAACGACTCAGGACGAAGAGCCGGTCCCGTGGAGAGGGTCGGGACTTCAGGGACCCCGTATTGAAAAAACCAGGACGTCGCATGTCTGGGGTGTCAGAAGCCAACGCCCGGGCCGTCACGACACGAACATGCCGCAGTGCAGTCTCAATGGGCCTCCCCCCCCAGGCCGCCCTTCTCGTCCTGGCACAGCTCCGGACAGGGCGGATGTCCCTGGTCGCTCAGGGTCAGCTCCAGTAAGGTTGCACGTACCGGGCTGTGCGCATGAGGCGCGGTGCCCTCGGTCTCTCGGGCTCGTCCTGATTTCTGCCTCGTATAGTAGAGGCATTGGACACAGATACACTCGCTGCAGCGGATGTTTTCCCGTCCTTGCTCCTTTGGCGCGTCTCCGCTCAGGCGGAGGCCAAGCAGCACATGATGAAGGAGCTGGCGAAGAAGCCCGGCTGCTACGTGCGCATCCCCTCGGGGTGCCCGAACAAGCCCATGAGGACCGATAAGTGGAGGATGGACACGTGGGCGGAGAAGAACGGCGTCGGCAGGGAGGGGTGCGAGCGACGCAAGGGCACCTGGGACACGTACTGCGGCTCGCAGGACGCCGCGAGCGGCGACCAGCTCCATGTCCACGCCCTCGCGGTCTGGGTTCCTGGGCGCGCTCTCCAATGGATACGCGGTCGTGCGGACATAGGCGCTCCACGCCGGGCATCGGCGAGAGCACGCCCCGCATCCATGGGGTCGCGGCCCAGGGGCCCCTGCCCGCGAGGCCGTGGGTGTGGCTCTGCATCTCCCGCCCACGAGGACGCGGAGATGATCTTCGCAGAGGCTGGGGAAGGCGTCGTGAACTAGCGCCGCGCGCCCGTTCCTAGCATCAAGCAGTGGCGAAGCGTCCTGGCTCGCCTATGGGCCCACCAAGTACTGTTCTAAGAACCTTTTGCGGTCTGCACGGAATATTCTTAGAACATGTTCTGGCCGAGACTGTCTTGTTTTAACACGTCGGGTCTACGCTCTAAGAGCATCGTTCTTGTTCTTAGAACATTTTTGGGTTCTACGAACATGGCGTGGTAGGCCGCCAGGCCTATAGGAATGCCGGGACGGTCTGCCCCTGCTCAATACCAGCGGGACCGGCGCCACCGAGAAGGGGCGGCGAGCTCGCTGCCCTGCACGTCCAGCCTCGCCCGCCCCGGCGCCGTGCCCCGGGTGGCGTGGCATTTCCTGCGATAGCCTCGAGGAGACAAGGCGCGGCCCTCGCAGGGTGGGCTCCGGAGCAGCGAGGCCCGCTCCCCGTCCGTGCCCGTCCCGCCCCTCCTGCCTGCCCGACCCCTCCTGCCTCTTTCGGACGGGGCTAGGACTCCTCCTCCTCCTCCTCCTCCTCCTCCTCCTCCTCCTCCTCCTCCTCCTCCTCGGATAAATCCCTTCTAGAGCGTTCCGGAACGCTCTCAGAGCGTTCCGGAACGCTCTGAGAAGGCCGCTGCGCCCGAGACATCCTCCAGAGCCTCCAGAGCCGCCGGATCTCAGTGATTCGCGTTGCATCCTCACCCGAATTGATCCTCGTCCTGGCTTCGTCTTACTGACCCCTCCTGCCTCCTGCTCCCGGTTCCTGCTCCTCCTGCCCCTGCTCCCGTGCCCCTCCCACGGTCAAGATTCCCTGGTTGCCTCTCCTGCCTCTGCTGCTACTCCTCTGGCTTCCTCCCCCACGCCTTCTTCTCCTGCCCCCTGCCCCCCACCACCTGC